TGTCACGGAGCCCCCAAGTGACCACCACTTTGGCATCCATGTTCTATCCATGTTCTATCCATGTCGTTTGGACTCTAGTTCCCTCTCCATCCTTTCGTCTTGACCCTCCTCAACCATTACGAGATTAGTCCGGGCCAATTAGTCCCAAATTCTCACTACATGGTCCTAGCTTTCCTTCTTAGGTGCCAAGAAATCCGGGTGGAGCCATATCTTGATTTGTTCAATTTCCTTTTCCATGTCACTAGTTCCTCGGGCCGAGCAAGTAAGGGGTGGGTGGCCTTCTCGACCCGCCCCCACATGAAAACTCTCCAAGATATTCAATTTTCTAACCACCAATGGAAACTTGCGTTCGTTTGTTATTATTATTATTATTATTATTATTATTATTATTATTATTATTATTGTTGTTGTTGTTGTTGTTGTTGTTGCTGTTGTTATTATTATTATTATTATTATTAATTTATTATTATTATTATTATTATTATTATTATTATTATTATTATTATTATTATTATTATTATTATTTGCGGTGAAAGTTGCAGATAAAGGAGGAGAGAAAAGGGTTTTAACTGGGATGTGTAAAAATATCATTTCTTTAAAATAATAAGGACAAAGATTTAAAAAAAAAAAAAAAAAAAAAAAAAAAAAAAAAAAAAGAAGAAGAAGAAGAAGAAGAAGAAGAAGAAGAAGATAGGAAGCTACTAGCTTATTTTGAAACAATACCTTAGGTAGCGTTCCAAAATAAGCTTTTATTTTAAGCTACGAGCTTATTTTGGGAACATTACCAAACAGAGCTTATAACTTATTAGTAGCTTAAATTAAGCTATAATTAAGCTCCTAAATAAGCTTTGTCAACCAAGAGTATGTAGTCTAATGGTACCCGGGTTGGACTTCCATTAGGAAGGTTATGAGTTTGAGCCTTAGTGGAGGTGTTATTGGTGCTTTGTGTTATTGGTGCTTGGTGCTTGGAATTCTTTTTTGAAGTATTTTGACTTGGTGATTGGAATTGGTCATTGAAGTATTTAGACTTGGTAATTAATTCTTGTTTATTTTGAACCTTGTATATTTTAATTTGAACATTGTGTATCTAGACTTGGTGATGGTGTTTGGATAAATTGTTTTTATTATATGATTATGTTTAATATCTAAACAGGTTAAAAACAACGGTTTAAAATCATTGTCTTTGATATATAAGACAACAGTTAAAAACCGTTGTCTATGCTTGAAATTATAGAGAATATAGCAGGTTTCGACAACACTAAATAGACAACATGTTGTCTTTGATATATAAGAAAACGGTTAAAAACCGTTGTCTATGCTTGAAATTATCGAGAATATAGCAGGTTTCGACAACACTAAATAGGCGGTTAAAAACGGAGGCAAAACAGTTGTCTATGTGCCTCTCGCATTCAAAACAAGCGCTTTACAATTTGAGCTGCATTCAAAACAAATAGAGTTAGGTTTCAATCCTGGGACCTGTGGGTTATAAACCCACCACACTTCCGCTGCGCCACTCTAATGTTGATTTTTGTGTCTATTATTAACCTATTTATCCTTTCTCTCTGGTGGAGTATTTCTCTATTATTTGATTATGAATGTAAACGCTATTATTTACAATAATCCCTTATTTAGTATCGAAGTTTTTAAAGGTTTAACAGTTAACCGAATCAAACTTTGTATTACCGAATTAACCGAACCAAAGTTTTTTAGGTTAATTGGTCGGTTAACTGAAGTTTTTTAAGCTAAATTTTTAAATCTTTAAATAATACCTAATTACCTATAATAATAAATTTAATTAAAATAATACTTATAATAATAAATTCATAAAAAAAATATATACAAACACAATACCGTAACAACACTACAAATATAAAAGCACGTGTGAGGTATAGAAAACTTCTCCCCCAAGCGACTGCGAGGCAACAATTTTTGACCGTTGTCCAGGTAAATTCGTAAACCACTTTTCTCGGTCACTGTTGCCACTTTTTTTTTTCCTGATGTACAACGAATATTAGGTATATTTTTTAAAAAATTAATGGTCTACAATAAAGCAATCGTTATACCCTACACCACGGCGCGCGTAGCATTGTGCGCCGCGCGCCTCCCAAAACGACGTCGTTTTGGGAGGCGCGGTAGGAAGTTGTTGTGATTATGTATATTTGTTCACACAATTATGTATATTTGTTCATACAATTATGTATATTTGTTCATACAATTATGTACATTTTTTATACAATTATGTATATCCGAATCAGAAAATTTGTGTGTATTATGTTAAGAGTTTATGTGTATTATGTTAAAAGTTTATGTTTATTATGTATTATGTTAGATTATGTGTATTATCTTTTAAAAAGAGTATGTATATTTTGTTATATAATTATGTACATTCATGTTTACAATTATGTGTATTCTAGTATAACATTATGTACATTTTTGAACATGGGTTTTTTTTTAAAGAAAAATTAACTACTATACACTGGGGCGGGAAATTTTTAAAAAAAATAAATAAATAAAACGACGTTGTTTTGCATCTAGGCGCACATTGCAATGCGCGCCCTGGTGTAGGATATAAATTGCCACAATAAAGCTAACATACAGGCCAAGCCCAGGATCAGAGATTAGATTTCTATAGCAAGCCCAAGCCTAGCAATTATTATTGTATGGACCATGGTCTACACAAGTTGTGTGGACCATATTTTGTATACTATAAAATAACGTACATTCAATACAAAAACAATGAACACTCAGTACAAAAATAATGTACATTGTATTCAGGGGATGTACATTATTTTTGTACTGAGTGTACATTATATTGTATAATGTACATTCAGTACAAAAATAATGTACATTTATTATATTAAAAATGTACTTTTTGTTATAGTCCACGTAACATTGTGTGAACCATGGTCCACACAATAATTTGTCCAAGCCTAGTATTCTAATGCTCGGCTCGGCCCGACCTTTTTTTTTTTTTTTTTTTTTTCCTATCTGTACACAATCCTCGGTATATATAATCCACAAACATAATCCACAATAAAATCCAAATTACAATACATACAATCTACAATATAACCTAAACTACAAGATATACAATCTACAATATAATCAAAACTACAACACAATCCACAAGGAGTCATCATCAAGTCATTACACTAGCTTATAGTTCAATTCAATCACAAAAGATGAGTTAATACAATCTCTAATTGAATCTAGCTATTCATGTTAGGAATGTAAATGAAAGCATCAATTGAAACAAGAGATATTGCAATCACAATTGGAAGAACGAAAATTCAAATGAAAATTCAAATGGGAGAGTTGAGCGCCATAACAGACATATTGTTGAAACGGGCTTAGCTCTTCTCGCTCAAGGGTCGGTCCCACAACAATATTGGGACTTCGCGTTTGAAACAGCTACGTGTCTAATCAATTACCTCCCATCTTCTGCTCTAAAATTCGAACGTCCATACTTCCGCTATACAAAAAGCTACCTCCTTACCAGTTCTTACGTGTCTTCGGGTGCAAATGTTACCCATATCTAAGGTCGTATAATCGGCATAAAATAAAATTTCGTTCCACTCTGTGTGTGTTCTTAGGTTACCCACCATCCTTTAGGGATATAGGTGCATGGATCTAATCAGTGGGAAAACTTATACCTGTCGCCATGTGCGGTTTGACGAATCTGTCTTTCCCTTTGCAAAAGGTACTCCACCAAGAGTAGTTGAGCCACAGCCCGTGCCTTGGGCTTCCGGACCCATAGTACCAGTTCAAGCTACAAGGTATAGTCCTGCTCCTGTCACCCTGAGTCCTGACCCTGAGCCGTTAGCTCATGAGTCACCCCCTTTAGCCATTGAGCCACCTGCTCCTGCGGCTCGTGGACGGGGACGAGGTCAGGGTCGGGGTCGGGATCGGGGTCGGGGTCGGACACAACCTCAGGACCGGGGGCATGTCATGCGGCTACGACACATGACCCACGGTAATAATGAGGAATTTCAGGCTCTAACTGCAACAACAACGCCGGATCCAACTTGCTACTCTCAAGCAGTTGGACACCCCCACTGGAGGGATGCTATGGACCAGGAGTTCAATGCACTTCTCCACAACAATACCTGGCGTCTTGTCCCACCAGGTCTAAACATGAATATTATTGGATGCAAGTGGGTTTTTCGCACCAAGCGTACCGCGGATGGTTCCGTGGAACGACACAAAGCTCGCCTTGTAGCAAAGGGGTTTAACCAAGTTGCAGGAGAAGACTTCTTCGACACTTTTAGTCCGGTCGTCAAACCAACCACAGTACGAATGCTATTCTCCTTGGCCATCACAAACAAATGGGCTCTAAGACAACTAGATGTTCATAATGTCTTCCTTAATGGCCACCTAGCTGAAACTGTGTATATGAAGCAACCACGGGGCTACGAAGATCTCACTCACCCGGATCATGTCTGTCACTTGCAACGGTATCTCTATGGCTTAAAGCAAGCTCCTCCCGCGTGGTTACGTTCAAGCAACTGCACGACTTCTTACTATATGCAGGGTTTTCTTCGTCAAAAACAGATGTCTCCCTCTTCTACCTCACTTCAGATGGGTCGCAGGTATTCCTCCTTGTCTATGTGGATTACATCATTATGATGAGCAATAACACCTCCCTACTTGACACTTTGCTTAGTCGTCTCGCGACTGTGTTTAAAATCCGGGATCTTGGCAAGCCTGGCTTCTTCTTAGGCATTGAAACTGTTGACACTACTAGTGGAATGATTCTGTCCCAGCGTCGCTACATGACTGATTTGTTGACTAGGGCTAGAATGGTTGGCTGCAAACCCCTGGCTACACCTGCATCGGTCACTCAATCAGCAACCCCGTCCGATGAACTGTTTGATAATCCGACGCAGTATCGACGAATTGTTGGGTCCCTACAGTACCTCACTATTACACGGCCTGATTTATCCTTTTCCGTTAATCGCCTATGTCAGTTTATGCACTCACCGTCTACTGATCACTAGACAATGGTTAAGCATGTTCTACGGTATATCAAGGGCACTCTGTACTATGGCCTGCACCTGAGTGCATCACCCACAACTTCTATTCATGCCTACTCCGATTCTGACTGGGCTGGGTGTCCGGTTGACAGGAAGAGCACAAGTGGATATGTTGTTTTTCTCGGGTCCAATCTTATCTCCTGGCTGTCCCAGAAACAACGTACTGTGGCCCGCTCCTCGACAGAAGCCGAGTATAAAGCCCTAGCCAATGTTGCCGCTGAGGTTACTTGGGTTGTTTCTTTGTTATGTGAGCTGGGTTGCATACTATTCAACCGTCTACTTTATGGTCTGATAACTTAGGAGCCACGTATCTTTGTGCTAATCCGGTTTTTCACGCCAGAACGAAGCCTGTTGAGATCGACTATCACTTCGTCCGAGACAAAGTTGCAACAGGGGACTTCAAGGTAAACTTCATATCAACCAAGGACCAGCTAGCTGATATCTTCACCAAGCCGCTACCGGGACCGAGGTTCGCCGCTCTACGGGACAAGCTTAATGTTGTTTCTCACCAACCTTCCGCTTGAGGGGGTGTGTGAGTGTTATTAATAATATTGTTATTATTATTATTGTATAACCTATGATTAGTTAATGTGTGGTGCTAGAATTAGTCTGAGGTTATATCCTATTAGATAGGAGTGTTTAGAGGTAGACTTCGATATACTCTCATGTACTGTAATCTATTGTAACTGTAATTGATTTTGAATTCTAATCATCATTCTCATCGTAAATAATGTCATTTATTTAAAATGATATCGATAAAGATAAAAAAAAAAAAAAATTTAGAAAGCTTCTACCTTATTTTTGAAATGTTATCTAATGTAGTGTTTCAAAATAAACTCTATTTTAAGCTACCAGCTTAGTTTGAGAACATTACCAAACATAGCTTATAGTTTATTAGTAGCTTAAAATAAGTTATAAGCTTCTAAATAAGCTGTGCCAAATTGAGCTTTAGGCTATTTTGACAAACCTAGCTGAAAAGGAGCTGAAAGCTGAAAAGCTATAAGCTAGGAGTTCAAAACTGAAGAGTTGTTAAGCTAGCTGTTATTTTTGAATGTGTTTGGTAAAATTAACTTTTTGACAAGCTGATAAATGTAAAAAGACAAAAAAGAACATCTTCATAAAATTTAAATTGGTTTGTTTACATATTAAAATTTAACATTTTATCTTTAAAAAAATTAACATTTTAAAATAAAACTATTAGCATAATCACGATCTAGCATCTCACAATGAAGTAGCAATATTGTTGCGAATTTCCTTCATATAATAATAATAATAATAATAATAATAATAATAATAATAATAATAATAATAATAATAATAATAATAATAATAATAATAATAATAATAATAATAATAATAATAATAATAATAATAATATTTGCGGTGAAAGTTGCGGGATAAAGGAGGAGAGAAAATGATTTTAACTGGGATGGGTAAAAATGGCCTTTTTTAAAATAAAAAGGACGAAGATGAAAAAAAGATAGAAGCTACTAGCTTATTTTAGAACGTTACCTAAGGTAACGTTCCAAAATAATCTCTTATTTTAAGTTACGTGCTTATTTTGGGAACATTACCATTTTTTGAAATATTTTACCTTGTCAACATTGTGTATCTAGACTTGGTGATGGTGTTTGGATAAATTGTTTTTATTATATAATTATGTTCCGCATTTTTTTTCTTGTCTTGTAGGACTTCTTTTTTATGTACGATGTATGTAACAAACTTTAGTGATGCGGGGGATCGAACCCCGTGCCTCTCGCATGCAAAGCGAGCGCTCTACTATTTGAGCTACATCCCCCATTTATGTTTTTGTAATCAAAATGCAATCTATATCTAATACAGAAATCAGTATTTACAAAAAATATCAAAAACCACTCTTATCAAAGCCAAGTTTCAATCTTGGGACCTGTGGGTTATGGGCCCACCATGCTTCCACTGCGCCACTCTGATCTTGATTTTTGTGTCTATTATTAAACTATTTACTCTTTCTCTCCGGTGGAGTATTTCTCTGTTATTTGATTATGAATGTAAACTCTATTATTTACAATAATCCTTTATTTATTATGGAAGTTTTTAAAGGTTTAACCGGTAACTGAATCGAACTTTGTATTATCGAATTAACCAAACCTAAGTTGTTTTAGGTTAATCCGTCGGTTAACCGATTGATCGAAATTTTTTAAGCTAAATTTTTAAATCTTTAAATAATACCTATAATAATAAATTTAATTAAAATAATACTTATAATAATAAATTCATCAAAAAATATACAAACTCAATACCATAACAACACTACAGACATAAAAGCACAAATTATAAAGTTTAAACATCCATGTATATATATATATATATATATATATATATATATATATATATATATATATATATATATTTATAAAGTTTAAACAACACTAGCCCTGGATCGTTGGCTCTTGATGGATTAACCTGGCCAGCGCTAACTGTAAAGATGTCAGCCGGGATGCCCCTTTCGTCTTCGATTTTGTTGTTCCCGATGTTAGTAGCGTCAGAAGTGGTGATGATTGCTGACTTGATTGCAGCAGGAGACCAATCGAGGTGCGCCCAGTTGAGCAAAGCCGCAACACCGGATAGGTGCGGGCACGACATTGAGGTACCTGAAAGAATGTTGAACGTTGGTTTCTTGTCGGTCATGTTTTCAACCGAAAAAGGCCATGCCGCAATAATGCTCACGCCTGGACCTACAATGTTGGTTTCAGAATTCCAGGGCTACCGTTCCTCGGCCCCCGAGATAAGAAGTAGGAAATGGCCGGGGCTAGGGACGGAGCCAAGAATTTTGTTAAGAGGTGACGAAGAAGCAGGGACGAGTCCATCAATTTTTTCGAGTGAATGAGAAACATTAAAACAAAAGAGATAATTTTTAAAAAAAAATAAATAAATTACCCAAGAAATATATGAATAAATATTGTTGGATATGGGCGAAAAATAAAATATTTTATTTAAAATATTCATAAAAAATATGAAACATAACTAATTTGATAAAATAATTTGAATAGAGAACACATTATAAATTACACATCTCATTTTTAATATAAAAGAATGTTGTAGATGTGTGTGCTGCAAAATTGTGTTAAGGTCAACAAAGGATTCGAACTCTGAACCTTCACTATAACCAAACATATGCTCTATCAACTAATCTATCTCACTTCTTATTAACATTTATCTGTTTCTTTATACTAATACTAAAAATTTTACTATATATACATATATACATACAACTATATATTATATATGAGGTGAGGGTGGGGGGAGGGGGCAACTGCCCCCTTTGACTCCGTCCATGAGTGTGAATGAGACTTTTTGTACGTGCGAATATAAAATGTGCATGCATGTATGACTGCATGGGAATAGATGTCATTCATATAAAATAGGGATAAAGTACAAATAAGCTACTGAACTATTTGAGAAACAACAATTAAGTCATCGAACTTAAATAACCCCCCAATATCATATTTGAAGTTTTATTATATTGTCGATATTGAATATTAAATGAATAAAATAATTCAAATTTACTTCCGAAATTTTTAATATTTTAATTATTATTATTATTATTATTATTATTATTATTATTATTATTATTATTATTATTATTATTATTATTATGGTGATTTTAGTCCCTATATTTTGACAATATAATCATTTCAATCTCTTTATTTTGGACGTGACTATACTATTTCAGTTTTATTATTTCATGAGATAGATGATTTTGATTTCGTATTGATGGGACTATTAACTTTGTCAAATGGTAACTATCACCGTAAAAAATCGACCTACAAAAACTTGAAAGTCGTGCAACAAAATAAGTGATAGGATTAACAATAATTCTCATCAATTTTAAGGGGCGATCGAGAATACATCTGCAAAGTAATAAATAGACTGTCTTTAATTTATAGATCACTTGACAAAAGGGAGATAAACGTGAGCAAAACAACTCAAAAGATCTTTGACATCAAGTAAGACTAACTTTGCAAAGTAAAAATTTTTATTATTTTTTTGTTAATTATTAACCGAATAAGTCTATAATAGACTAAAAATATAAAATTTAAGGAAAACTTTGGAACAAAATTTATACTCTAAATTATTATACTGAAGGTATAACTCGATAATCAGAACTGCTCGTTTCCATCAATAATTTGTTTTTTTTTTTTTAAATGACTGTCAATAATAATAATAAGTCATTTCGAGATCTTATACTTGTATGGTTTTATTTTGGCCAATTGAAGTACTTAATTATAATTTAAAATGAGTAGGTACATATTTGATATGTATACAAAGTACAAACAAACACACATATATGATATATATGGGTTAGATTAGGTACAAATTCGCGGCCAAGTATAAACGTGCAAATTCTAAAGTACACAACTCGATCAGAGCTACAAAGTGTGAACATTTTATTAATACTTATAAATGTAACTCAAAATAAAAGTTTAAAAATTAGAATTCTAAAAGCAATACACGTACAAACAATAAATGTGCAAACTATAACACTTATAAGTGTAACTCAAAAGAAAACTTTAAAAATTATAAAAATGTGCAACATAAACTCTAATTTTTATGTTCAACTTCACAAAATTATTGTTCTCTATTTTTTGTTTTTAAATTTTTTAATTTTCATTTTATATCTGAACTAAATTTATATTTATTTGTATATAACATAACTAAATATATATCTAAATCAATAACCTATTAAGTTCACTTAAAATTTAGTTTAGATAATATTAATATTTTTTTGAGTTAAAATTTAAAATATTTTTGTATATATTTATTTTGAGTGAAATGTTTATATATAATTTTTATTTTAAAGTCTAATATATATGAAAATTCAATATCCAATATTCAGACCAAACTTATATTACGATATAACTAAAAAATTCGAACCATCTATTGTTTTCCATTCTCAAATTCTCTAGTTCTAAACCCACCTAACACCCCTTGCATGCAACAAGTAAGCTCCAAGGAGGGTGTGAGCTGGTTAGTAACTCAGTTATGCTCCTAACACCCCTTGCATGCAACAAGGAAGTTCCAACGAGGGTGCGAGCTGGTTAACAGCTCAATTTTGTTCTCTAAAAATGTGTTTAACTTTAACTTTTTATTTGTATAAATGTTACATAGAAATGTTGTCAAATAATACAATCAACAACAAAAAATAATTTTAACTTATACAAAACTTAAGTAGCACAAATAAAATATTTTAAATTTTTTCCCATGAAAATTTTTAAATCAAGAACTTTAGAATATATATAGTTTTAATTTTCATGTAGAACTCCGATCAAAATTTCACTAAATTAATTTCATCTCACGAGATATAAATTAGTATAGAAATAAGAAAAAAGGTGTAAGGCCAAGTGCTCCTTACCCTGCTCTAGCTACTTCCACCACTACAATACTACATACAAGTACACTTCATTAATATCAGGTTGTTTGTGATGACTGATGACGCCATTTAACTTATTACGGAGTATATTTTACCATTAAGTAAACTCTATATTATCATTTCAAAAAATATACCGTGTTGTTCCCACAATATATTGTAAAAAACTTTGGCCATTCAACTTATTATATTTTACCATTAAGTAAATTATACATTATAATTCCAGAAAATGTACGACGAGACTACGTGACAGTATCGTGTTCTCCCCACAATATATTGTAGAAAACTTTTGGCAGTACGCGTCACAAATGAGCTAGGTGGCCAAGTGGATGAAGCATGATTCTCATATCTTAAGGTCATGAGTTTGATTCTGACCAACACCCTTTCGGTTGATCTGAGTCCGTTGCATAGGGTTTTCCTATTGTGTTGTTTGCAAGTCCGGGGGAGTGTTTACTCTGTGCACACCATTGAGTAGTGGTTGTAGGTTTAGCTTGTCATCCAAAAAAACAAACTTTTGTCGATTCTAAATCCACCTAATAAGGGCATTCTCATTAGTGAATTTTAGGAGATTTTTGCAGGTGAAAAAAACTTGATTTTTTTACTAATGAAGAACATGGTTTTTAAGTGGCTTTTACTCATGCAAGTAGTGATTTTTAGTGGAGTCCACCAAGAGAGAAAAATAGAACAAAAACAACAATTGTCTGCACGTTGAGCGCAACAATCGCGCCCAGTAGGAGAGCCTACCACTACTGGAAATTCTGAAATTTCCGACCACCAGAAAATGATCTTAAATTAAGTTGATACCAAAAAGTTCAAAAAGTGGTCGGAAATAGCAACAAAGGTTTTTCCGGATACCAAAAGTGGTCGGAAAAAGACTTTCAACTTGATTTAAGATCACTTTCAGGTGGTCGGAAATTTCAGAATTTCCAGTAGTGTACTGAGCGCATAATATTAGTATGTTTTTTTTTGTCAGATTTTTTTTTCTTTTTCACCATTTTTTTTCTCTCCCTCCTCTCTTTCCTAGTTGGCACCTCAAAAATCTCAAAAAAAAAAAAAAAAAAAACTAAAAACGAGGATGCTCTTATCCCTTGCATGCAATAGGGAAATTCCAATAAGGTGGGAGCTAGTTAGCAACTAGATTATGTTCTCTATAAACATGCTCAATAATCCCGATTTCTTATTGCCTTTGACTAACAACTACACTCATCAGAGAGATTGCAAGCGTTGATATGTTGGTTCTTATGGCCTTCCCTGCTACTTGGAGGAGGTTTCTTGAGAGGTAGACTCCCATGTGCCCTGATTCATCATTTTCCTGGAAGACTGAGTGGTATGAATCATCATCTTCTCCCATGTGTGTTCTCACAAGATGTTTGAGGCTATATTTTGCCCTTTTTTTGTCTTGTCTTTTATTTGACAGCAAAACTGCCACCCCTCCCATTCTGAACAATGTGTTGGTGAGAATCATGGACTTCACACTCCCTAGATAGGCATTTGAGGTTATGGCCTCCATGCTGACAACCAAAGCCAGGGAGTTTTTGTGGACTTTAAGGATGTCTTTAGCCACACCGATCGAGAGAATCCCCGCGCTGCACCGTACCCCATCCCACACAGGCTAAAGCTCTTCACATTGCTCCTCAGCCCAAACCTGTTAATGACCATAGAAGTGATGGAGGGGGTGGGGCAGAAAAGGCTGCAATTAGACACAATAATGTCTATGTTCACTACTGGAAATTATGGAATTTCCGACCACCTGAAAGTGATCTTAAATAAGTTGATACCAAAAAGTGGTCGGAAATAGCAACAAAGGTTTTTCCGGATACCAAAAGTGGTCGGAACAAGGTTTTCGACTTGATTTAAGATCAATTTCAGGTGGTCGGAAATTTCATAATTTGTAGTAGTGGCTCCCAGGGCTCACATTGTGCTTTTCTAGCAGATTTTTCACCACACTGAACAGAATGATAGATAATAATATTAAGGCTAACATAAAGTGTAATAAACGAGTAACCTGCGTGCCTCGTTGCAGCGGAAGCTCTAGGACCGCCCAAATATCCCTAGCCATAGTCGTTGGTATTGCCAGGGAGCAGTCAGGGAGGAGCTGGTGCATCACGTGGGGGGCGCCCGCCTCACTGCTGATCCCGGACCTCGTCCCGGACTTCACGTGGAAGTCGAACCCCTCGGGTTCAGTGCAATGCAGCCCTTGCTCCACAAAGTAGGCCGTGGTCACCCTCGTGTGGTCCGGGGGCCTGTAGCAGCAGAAGTCAAGAAGGTAAACCGGGTGGGATCCGAAAACACAGTAGTAGTAATAGAAACAGGGCTGCCATGGCATGGAAGGGAGTGAATGATGCATTCAAGAAATAATCTGTGAGCATTTGGGACATGTTTGGATAATGTTGTACCCAAGTTGCCATGTTCTCATGCTGTCTGTTTGGGGTTGTGTGGGTATTATATAGAGTCTAATCTGTTATATGAACGGATGATAACACAATTGTTGTTCAGGTGCTATATTTACTGATTTATTGGTCTGAAAAGAAGGAGCAGTTTTGTAATCACAGCATTTGTGGGATAAAATGTAGTTTCAAATTTCAACTTTTATGTTACGTTTATAAGAAGTTAAATATTTTAAAGATGAAATTAAATAATGAATCTGTTGTAGTCTAGTTGGTTAGGATACTTGGCTCTTACCCAAAAGACTCGGGTTCGGTTCCCGGCAACGGAAGCTCCTTTTTATGCTTTTAATTCGCATTGCTCGTTCACGGTGCAAAAAAAAATGAACACCAAATGGGGTGAGAGAGGCTCGAACTCTCGACCTCAGGATAACTCAGAAGCTATGAGACCTACGCGCTAACCAACTGCGCCACCACCCCGTGTTGATTTGGCTTTTAATGAAATTAATCTATAGTATTATGGATACATACTTTTTGACGAACATATTATTAATTAATGGAAATAAGGTTCAAATTGGCCACTGAACGTAACCTGAAAATGCAATTAGGCCACTGAACGAAAAAAAAAAGTGCAATTAAGCCATTGAACACTCAAAAAATGTGCAATTAGGCCACTGAACTCTCCAAACGTATGCAATTTTACCGGATAGCAGGTTACCTGCTTACGTGGCAGCTTAGTTGGCATTTTTAATAATTTTTAAATAATTTTAAATAATTAATTTTAATAATAAATTTTATTAAAAAATTGGAAAAAATTAAATAAAAAATAAAATAAAGTCGTTTTTATTTTTTTAAAAAAAATTTAATAAAAATTTGTTATTAAAATTTATTAAAAATTAATTAAAATTTATTAAAAATGCCAACTCAGCTACCACGTAAGCAGATAACCTGCTAAAATTGATGGTAACCTGCTATCAGGTGAAATTGCACATTTTTTGAGTGTTCAGTGGCCTAATTGCACTTTTTTTCGTTCAGTGGCCTAATTGCACTTTCAGGTTACGTTCAGTGGCCAATTTGAACCTTATTCCTTAATTAATTAATAAACTAATAATGTGAATAGATTAATGAGGGGGAACTAATATCCTTCTATATATTAACGCCATATAGCCATGACCAATCAAATTGTCCCAAATTCCCGCCTAAATGAAACTACGACGTTTTATTAATTCAGTTTAACTATTAGTTTTTAAACATATAGAATACTTAATTAAAATAAAGTGGTTTGCTCCTTGGAAGTTGATCCAGATCGGAAACTTAATAACAGCAGCCAAAAAAATAAATTGAAATTATAATGTTTCTACATTTTTTTTAATATAAGCAAACATAATAGAATCAGATTTGAACTCTACTTTATGGCTAATCAGAAAAGTTTCAATCTTCGGTGCAACATAATCATTCAGCTTCATTAATATTTCCTCCTTCGAGATACCCACTGGCAGAATCATCCTTCTATAAATACTATAGAATAACAAACACCACTCTCATGCTTCTTCAATCTAAATCTCATGTTCTTGGTTAAAATGAATCTTTGTTTATATTGGCCAAAGATATCAACAGAGATACCTACACAAAAGCCATTAGACTTAGATTAGTTCGAAGTTATGTTATTCATGAAGGGAGAAATACGAATATTATTAAAAGTCAAGAGATGCTTTTTCACGATTCAGAGGTAAGCTTTTGAATGTTGTAATACATATTAGTATTTACAGTTTCTACTAATCAGTTTTACATTAATTTTTTATTATTTATTTTTGGTTTCTAGGGAACCTATCTCCATTGCCACATCCCAAAGGAATACTTGGATAAGTTCTCAAATTAGTTCACAGAGGGGAAAGTTTATTGTATCAAAAACTTTTTGGTAATCTCTAATTATTATCGGTACAAGCTCACTCCTGTCGAATACATGATTAAGTTGAACCATTCAACAACTGTTCAAAGACACCGTAGGAAAGGCTTTGCTAAGTGTATGTTCAGGCTTCGCAGTTATGATATTCTAGGCAGAATTATTCCTGAGAAATTATTATTCGGTTAGTAAACAATACTTTTTCTTTACACTATAAACTCCTAATTAGTTTATGTTTAATTCTTCAATCTATAGTTTTTTTTTTTTAACTCTAAAGTCAATGTTTGTTGTCAAATATTTTCTTCTAGATGTCATTGACAGGGTTGTTGAGTTTTATCCTCTAAAGTCAATTACTATAGGAGGTTATCCATCAAAGCTGGTGGATTTTATTATTGAAGACTCCAATAGGATTGAGTGCTTATGATCTCAGAAACAAATACTTGGAGGTTGGAGATTTTTTTTTTTATCAACCTATATATTCTACTCTAGGCTTTAATAGTTAACACATTCAAAATTCTGAAAAATTTAACTCTGATTCTAATTTGCAGGATCCTACTTAGATTCCAACAGAATTTGATTCTCTCGGGGGCAAAGCTATGGTTTTTAAAGTATCAGTAAAGAATGAGCACATTAAAAACCCATTCTTAGCTATTCCTATGGTGAACATAACCCAAGATGATGACTTGGTGGCATCACACTGTACCCTTACAGATGAGAAGGATGAGCTCTCAAAACTAATTGCTCAAGAAGAAGAAGATGATGACCCTAATGTATGTAACTGACCTATTATACAATTTGTTTTATGTTGGTTTGATTTTTTTTTTTTTTTTTAAAAAACATGCTATTTGCGTCTTCTTTCTGCTCCACCATAGAGTATAGGGGATAGTCTAACTTATATCACTATTCTCTATTGTATCATTCAACCTATCAATCTTAGGGAATTGCAATTATGCTTAAGCAGTATCGCACTATCATAGACTTAACGTCTATTGATTATAGGCGAGATCCACTTCATTAAGTGCTCTTCTGTCATGTTTCCTTAGAGCAATCCCATTAGTGTATTTTGGAGTGATTTTTTAATGAGAAAAAACTATAGAGTTATTTTTTAATAAATTGGAAGGTAGTTTTTTTTTTTTTGGGTTTTTTTTTTCCTGCATTTAAGTTTTTTATGCGCCTTGCTAGTTGAGAGAATCTGAGAAAGAAAGGCATATGAAAGATTAAAAGGTATTGCATCGAGCCCAGCATGTGCATGTGCCAACTGGGTACGTGAAACGCAATTTGACTTTTTTTTTTTTTTTGCGCTTTTTCTCCATTTAGTTTCCTCCCTCGCATTCTCTCTTTCCTTTTCATATATGCAAAAACTTACAAAAAAATCGAATTAATGAGCCCTTCTCAAGGTGCAAATTATTATGTGGACCCGGATCCAAATGTTCACAATTTACATACTAAATGTTCATAATTTACATTTTAGAAATTTACAATTTGTATACACAAGCACACAATGTTAACATATATGTAATTAATTACCTTGTTTTGTATTCACAAGTTCTTTCAAATACTGCAATCTCACAATATAACAGATTAAGATTTGATGGCCTTGTATTGTATTCACAAATTTCCATCTACAGTTGTTATGTGTTTTGACTTAGAAAGACAATTTATATTCTATAAATTCACAATTCTAATACTAAAAACACACAATTTATACATCGATTTAGAACCAAAGTCCACATTTTAAGGTGAACTCTGGTCTATGATATAACAACTCCTCTAAAGGGGCCTCCCTTGTAGGCCCTCAGGTGCAAACCCAACACCTATACCCCAAGATAGATGGTTATGTGGTTACATACTTCCTAATGGCTCCTCTAACTCCGCGCTTCCCTCCTCGAGATTCTAGAACCTGTTATTGGCATCATAATTTTAGCATTTGAACCACACAAATAATAATAATAATAATAATAATAATAATAATAATAATAATAATAATAATAATAATAATAATAATAATAATAATAATAATAATAATAATTAGTTGCAAAATTTGATTTAGAATCAAATAATGAAACAACAGCTATAGTGATCAAAGATCCATGATTAAGATGATTTAAAATCAAATTTGATTTAGAATCAAATTTGATTTACAAGTATAGAACTGATTAATATGTTTATATTTGTGTAATACACTGTACAATCATAATACACAGAAACAAGTAATTTGGGTCCTGAACTACTACTCGTAATGATAATAAACACAATTGCAACACAAATTTAAAATCCAAATAATAATAAATTAAAGAATCTGACAAATAGGTTTATAAACATTTTTTACCCAAGAATCTCAAAAGGAATTTAGCTACACATGGCTAAATTATACATAGCTAAAGATAATAAAAAAAAAATACAAGTTATCAAAAAGAGTACAAGATTGAACCAGTCAATTTTTCCAAATCTCCCTAGCTTTCTTCTTACTTCCCAAACCAACTTGTGGCTCTTGATTTCTCTCCTTCTTGTCTCTAAATCTCTGAATGAATATTAGGGTTGGGGAAGGGGGATTTTATAGTAAAATGCTAGAACCAATCCTAGTAGAAATAGGAATTTTTCGTGCAAAACTGTGCCAAAATCGCGCCTGGGCAGTAGGTTCAGTTTGCAGGCTTGTTTTGACCCTTTTCCCTTCTGATACAGACTTTAATGTCTATATAACCGTTGTAACCCTTCGAGTATTCTTTCCAATGGCGCAAGAATCACTTCATTTGGATATTCCTAGGCTGAGATATGACTCAAAAATCGAACTGTCGCCAATCTGTGCGCGAATATTTACTGATGAAACGTCACTAGAAATTTTTGACGCGTAGAGCCTAGGTTCGATTCGTCGAGTTTTTTGATGAAACATAAATTGTAGCCCTTCGAGTTTTCTTTCCAATGACGCAAGAATCACCTGAATTGGACATTCCTAGCATGAGATATGATCAAAATACTAAACTGTCACCGAATTCGGCGGGAATTACAACTCTTTGCTCTTTTGCTCCACTTTTCCCTTGT